AAGAAAGCCAAAATGGGGAAGCCATGTGTGAAAAACGAAGTACACCCTTACTGTTTCCATAGCTATGAAGAGGCTAAGTAGTAGCCAGGTGCTGCTAATCAAATGCCCTTGATCAATTGATCATCAGCAAGTGTGACTACCTCTATAAGCATTAGGAGTTTGCTGGTCTTGAGCATTGAGGTGTGGGTCAATGTGTGTGACTTAACACTGCTGACTTTCTAGGTACAATATACCTCCTTATCAATTTCACATAGTGGCATCCACAGGGATGGTGGTGGTGGTGGTGGTGGTGGTGGTGGTAGTGGTTGTGGCCCTTTGATTCACGTCTTGCCCCTTTTGCATATACATTACATGTACAAATGTATGGCCTTTCAATTGCAATGTTGCAACAATATTTTCTGTTCTGACACATGCACACCCATACATGTCTCTTGTTTCTGTATTAATGTTGAGGATGTGCAAGTGATTCACCTAAATCCTCAATCTCATTTTAAGCAGATACACATTTGGCTGGCTTTGTGGCTCCTAAAGGAAAAGTGGGATTTTTCTAAAATGGCCAGAATTAAAACAGGGCTTCCACAAGATTTTATGCACACTTCAGTAGTTAACCATTTGTACACAAGAGATATTCTGGCTGTAAAGATACTATTTTCTCTGTGTTAATTGATTGAAGACTAGAAGCTTAAATTTCCTTAAATTTTGCTATGGATTTGGAATCCAGTAAAAAGTGATGTTGAAATCCAGCTCAGCTATTTTTCTAATCACTGAATCACGCTCTAAAGAATCTTGTGGATACACTCCAGATATGTAGAGCCATCTGACTCACTCTGAAAGCTGAATATCATATTCTGAAAACAGTTTAATAGTTTTCCAGTCAAGCACTGAAAAATATACATACATGCCTAACAGTAACTACTCATTTTTATTTATTTATTTAATTTATTTATACATCATACTTATATAGCCGCCCATTTCACACAAAATGACTCTGGGCAGCGTACAACAATTAAAATAAATTATTTTACTGAAATAATTAATGGAACTGCATTCTATAAATTGTTGTTTCAACTTTGAACAACATCTAGAGTCACTGCCATGAGATGGGGGGCCATAGAAATAATTTAAATAAATAAAACTTATTATCATAATTATAAAAACAGCACGATTCAGAAAACTTCCTATGACTTCATTTTTACTCGCTGAACAGTTAAAAAAATGGTGATACGTGAAACTTCCTACCTTGTATTTCCTTTTTATTCACAGCATTATCAGCTTTATGTCTTTTCTGAAACAAATTGCATAAATGTTACATCACTGTTAGGGAATATTAAAAAATTAAGCAAGTTATATATGAAAAGAAATTATGACTAGGTTCACACAACATGTATAACAAATCAAGTTAAAGAACCAGCTGGTTAGTTTTTTGTGACTTATATTTTATGCAAACCTAGGCAGAATTTTAATTTAAAAAGAAGCACTGTGTTATGCAGACGGGCTGTAAAAAGCATTATTAACTGCTGCTTGTGTTTTGCTATGGGATTTGTTCAAAATGTTTATTTTTTGAAAAATCATTCTCTTGGCCTATTGTGGCAGTAGCCACCCCAAGCCCTGCCACACTTGTGGCTCGCTGGCCCCTTGTGCACCTGGAAGCAGCCACTCCAAGTCCTACTGTGCTCGTGCCTCACTGGCCCCTTGCGCACCTGGCAGCAGCCACCCCAAGTCCCACCACGCTTGCGCTGGCCCCTCGTGCACCCTTACACGCCCACCCACACACGGCAGCAGCCACCCCAAGCCCCTTGAATAGCCTGCCTGCCAGCCTGCTTATAATCCACCTGGGACTTCCAACTTCCTGCTGGCTTCCCCACTGGCTTTGGCTGTTGGAAGCCAGCAGGAAGTTGAGAGGCGGTCCTTATTTAATGACCCACGAACCTTACTTAATATCAGCAACAGGGACTACTGGGATTGCTCTTGCTAAGCAATGTGGCCATGTGACATTGCACTTTATGACTGCATTGCTTAGCAACAGAAATACTGGCCCTAATTACCATTGTTAACTGAGGACTACCTATATATAGTTCCTTGTTTATGGTGTTTTGCTTAGGTTTGATAATTCACCTCTCACCTGAAATTGGGAAAGTGCAAAAAGTCTCCTAGATTTTATATCAGAAACTAGGAAACGTATTTATTATTTTTTAGCCTATTACAGGGTTGGGGTTAAGGTCAAGGATATCTGTCACTTTCCCCCCATGCCTGAGGAAAGGTAGAAGAACTTGCCAGAATAAGATGCTTGCTAATGGTAGGTTGGCAAGCCCATTAATGGAAATCTATACAGTATGTAATTTCTACCTTAAAACAAGAAATAAGAACAAGTCATTTAAGCATTAGTTTTGGCCTCTAAATAAGTATTTGATTTTGAATACATCTTAATATTATTCAGTTTTGGGGGCGTGGTAGCCACTGGAGAAGATGGCATACTAAGTTGATGCTTTCTCTTTTCATGTAATTTCACTTTTTAAAAAACTGATATCTGACTAATTGTCAAGATCAGCAATAAAAAGATGCCAAAGGCAGAAGAATTAAGGTTTGCATGGATGGTCCAAAAGCAGCCCCCATTCTAGTAATGAAAAAGAAACGATGGAGAAAGATGACATGATGGAATTCTGATGGAATAAAAACCTGAAAAGCAAGTACTCTATGTGATGAAGCTGTGAAATTGACTTGATAGCAAATCTAATTAAGCAATGCAATTAATAACAAAAAGTGGAATGGAATAAGTGAGCTAGACTTGGCAAATATGCTTGAATTAGTTATAAACAACTAAAAGAACTGTCTTCTCAAATTTCAGTGGTTGCTTAAACTGCTGGCAAAGCATATGATGTTGCTAAGAGAAATGGATTTGACAGGATCCATTGTCCTGTCCTGATCCATTGTAATGTACAGGATCAGAATAGAAGAAATCATTCAAGAATTAGAGGAATTAAGGAAACTGAAGAAAAGACTTATTTTAATTGGATATCTTATATCAAAGCTTCATGGTAAGTAACCAAATTTAAAACTTTCAGACATGGATGTGTAGAATGTGGCTATAGAATATTTATTTAGGTTCAACCAGATCAAAACCCAAGGGTTATAGTAAAATTTGTAAATTCTTGGGTGAAAGACATAATTTTGTGAAAAGCTTGGAAGATAAAGGAGCCTAATCAGGATAGAGAAAAAATGCTATTATTTCAAGATATAAATCCGGGCTACGTTGCAAAGAAAAAAAGCCTTCAAGAGGGACAGAAATATTATCAAAACACTGAATACATATAAATGGGTGTTCCCTTTCAAATTAGTTTTAGTTTTCAACCATAAGGAAGAGACTATTTCAAATCTGAATAGAGTCTTAGCTAACCTAAAGAATACTTATGAAGATCCAATAGAGAAAAAAACCTAGATGTGTAAAGAACTGAGGTGGGAGGGATGGTGGTTGTGCATCCGTCCTTGCCTTACTTGACCTTTCAGCAGCCTTCGATACCATCAACCATGGTATCCTTCTGGATCGACTCAGAGGACTGGAAGCAGGTGGCACAGTGTTGTGCTGGTTCTCCTCCTTTCTACGGGGTTGGTTCCAGTCGGTGGTGACTGGGAATGAGAGATCCCACCCTCGGCCCCTACTATGTGGGGTGCCGCAGGGATCGGTGCTCTCTCCTCTCCTATTTAACATTTACATGAGACTGCTGGGTGAGCTCATCCATTGCCATGGGGTGAGGTATCATCAGTATGCTGATGATACTCAGTTGTACATCTCCACCCCTGGCGAATTAAGTGATGCTGTGGACATCTTATTCCAGTGTCTGGAGACTGTGAGGGTCTGGATGGGGAACAACAGGCTTCAACTGAACCCTGGCAAGACTGAGTGGCTTTGGGCCCTGTGGTTCTAGGACTTTATCATCTTTGGCTGTGGATGGGGTCGCACTGCCCCAAACAGACCCTGTGTGCAATCTGGGGTCTTTCTGGACTCGCGACTCCTGCTTGATGAGCAGGTGGCAGTCATGGCTAGGAGGGCCTTTGCACAAGTTTGTACTGTGCACCAGTTGCATCTGTTCTTGGATCAGGGGGACCTTCTCATGGTCACTCATGCCCTGGTCGCCTCCTAGTTAGACTACTGCAATGCGCTCTACATGGGGTTGCCCTTGAAGAGTATCCAGAAACTTCAGCTGGTGCAAACTGCAGTGGCGCGAGCAGTTATATGTGCTTCTGGTAGAACACATGTCACACCTCTGCTTTGTGAGCTGCATTGATTACCAGTTTGTTTCTGGGTCCAATTCAAGGTGCTGGTGTTGACCTTTAAAGCCCTTCATGGCATTGGACCGGATTACTTTAGGGACCACTTCTCCCTGATTTCATCTGCCGGTCCTACCAGGTCCAGCAGGAGGGCATGTTACGGGTTCCAACGCCTAGGGAGCTACATTTGGTGGGCTCTAGGCGGCAGGCCTCTTCTGCTGTGGCGCCTACGCTGTGGAATCTTCTTCCCCCTGAGGTGAGGTTGGCCTCGTCACTGTTGAACTTCTGGAGGTCCCTCAAGACTTGGTTGTGCCAGCAGGGCTAGGGACCCCAGGGGATGGGTGATCCAGTGAGGTGGCTGTGTTATTTTTATATCCCTTCACCTATTATTTTCTGTTTTACTTTGGTTTTTTATATTTTTTATACTTTTAATGTATTTATGGCTTTTTAACCCTGTTGTATGCCACCCAGAGTTGCTTGAAAAAGTGAGATGGACAGCTAATAAATTGTATAAACAAACAAACAAACAAATCTTTGTAAGTAGAGTATATGATAAAAGGATCATCTGCGATTTGGAAATTAGCACATGGTTGATTGTTATAAAATGAATAATAAATTAGTATTTAAGAGATTGCAGAGTTTGAACACCAACTAACAGTCAGAAGACATGATGAAAACTCCTTAATCTCACAACACATGGACAGACATAACCATAGTTTAAACTGGGAAACTGTCA